TAGGCACACTCCCCAAATTGCTTCAATGAACATACCTGAACAAACCACACACCCGCAGACAGCCCGCCTTCCCTTTGCCTATCAGGTCCACAGAATTCCTTTAATGCTGCTCACCTGGTGGATTTCTTTGGCTGTGAATAAGAACATGCTTATGAAAACTGCATTGGGGAATATAATTTAAAGCATCAGCATGAGCTAGCCATGGGACGTGGCCGATGAGACAGCACCAAAGGAATTCAGATAAATACAAAATTGGGGCTAAGTCTGAGTAAAGATCTAAGAACTCCCAGGAAAAGAGGTGTGAGAAGAACCTAGAACAGAATAAGGCAGAGCAGATGGGATCCTTTCTTTCTGAGAGCAGTAAGTTAGGAGAGCCGCTAAGCTGGATCAGGAGATGAGTCTGGTAGCGGGATAATCCTCAGTGCAGGAAAGGGGTGCTGGGATCCCCAAAGGCTTCCGAGGGCTCACTATGTACACAGAAAGGCCCCCTCTCTAGCAGCGACTGCTGACGTCTCCTTTAGACTCCTTCTAAAACGAACCATGCCCTGACACTGGGTAGTGGTCAGCAGGGGCAAAGCCAGCCATGGCCAACAGGGGCAAAGCCAGCAACGGTCAGCAGGGGCAAAGCCAGCGGATGGTCAGCAGGGGCAAAGCCAGCAGACGGAAGACAGATGCTCTAAAGTTGGTCGATATTGGCAACATAGTAAGACAAAGACCTAAATAGTGCACTTCGTAAAAAAGCCGGCAGGGGTTAAACGCCAGTGTTTATTTCCTCACGCATGAACGCTGGTGAGACATACCTAATGGCTAACTGAATGAGGAGAGTGTGCAGTCCATTTTCTATTCCATATTTCAAACTGTTCTTTTACAGTGAGTTATCTGTGAGAGATAAGTTAGTTATCTCAGCCTTCCAAATAACGTACTAGCAATGATTAACTGATCCATGGACCATAGTCCTTTATAAGTAACTACAATAGTGGCTGCCTTTTCCTTCTGCTCGAACACGTGACTCCACATCTTCCCGTCATCCAGCATGACCCAGTGTAAGGGAATCTGATCTCTCTGTATTTATGCTCCAGATAACTGGTACACATACACAGAGTGGCGTCACGGTGACAAGAACTCCAGGGCTATTTTCATCTAATAGGAAAACTAGAAAGAAAAGTCAAGACTCTTTAGGTCTGAGAAAGACTGTGACCAAAAATGACTCGATTTGCATGTTATCTCCAATAAGGAATAGATGAACATTAGAAACAAAGAACCTGACCTATAACTCATGGGCCATAAAATTAGGTAAACAATTTAAGCTGCCAAATGAGGTACAGAAGGAAGGACTGTTCAGGGTAGGAATGGAACCTCCCGTGCTGGAGGACTAGATCATCACACGGTGAGAGAATCTAGTTCCTATCCAGGATTCAGATTTGGAAACTGAGTGGGTTCATGAGGGATTCTGCCTCAAGGATAAGAGATTAGTCATGCAACCTCTCAAGATTACGTTTGCTTCCATGGTAAAATGAAAATTTACATTTTTAAACTTTTTCACCTTTAGACGGGGCAAATAGGATATGTATGCAAAGCTGCCATAATTCTGAGGTCTTCATATAGACAAGAAACCAAAAGTAAAGGGTCTGTGTTTGTAGCGATTGAAAAGAAAGAAAGCCCAAACCCATAAAACCAGCAGAGCAGACCATGGTACGGTGAGAACTGAGTTTCTGCCGTGTGTGGGCCTCTCTCTCTCAGAGCAAGCACATTTCTCCACAACCCTTGTTCATGAATCACTGAAGTACAATAAAAACAGATGAATATAGTTACATGCAAACTTTAGCTGGCAATTATACTGCTTCAAAATGGCAACTTAAATTATGAAAAATGAAAGTGTTGGTAGTTTGCTGAATTTATAAAAATCAGTTATCTGGGCTGGGCGTGGTGGCTCACACTCTGTTATTCTAGTTCTGGGAGGCTTAGGTGGGTGGATCGCTTGAGCCTTAGAAACCTGAGACTAGTCTGAGCAAGAGTGAGACACCATCTTTACTAAAAATATAGAAAAACTAGCTAGGCATTGTGGCAGGTACCTGTCGTCCCAGCTACTCAGGAGGTTGAGGCAAGAGGATCGTTTGAGCACAGGAATTTGAGGTGGCTGTGAGCTGTGATGCCATAGCTCTCTGCTAAGGGTGACAGAGTGAGACTCTGTCTAAAAAAGAAAAAGATAAAATAAATAAATTACATAAATAAATAAAAGATATTTGTTTTTATTTGCCAATAATTGTGCTACTGACAATAAAAAGCATAAACAATGACGTATACACGTATTTATGTAAAATCTGTAGTTTGATTATTCTACAAATAATTCTTAGGATTTATTTTTCCTTTGTCCTTCCCTCTAGGGGAGTTAATAGTTCGACTTTGAAGGTGAAGCCGGAGGGTGAAGATGTGCCTCTCAACCCAAACTTGAAAGTCAGCTTCATCATAATACTTGATAGATTTTTGTTTCAGGTTGTTGATTTTTGTGCTCAAAACCAACTAATGAAATTATAATAAAAAAGCACAACTTCTCTTTAATCAGGAGCTCTGACTTGCACTATTCATTTTCAAAATTCCAGAGACTGAGAATCAAGAAGTAGCAAGGCATAGGACAGGGTGAGTCTGCACTTTGAAAATCCCTCTCTCTCTCTTCCCCAGTGGACATCCGACTTGAAAAAACACAGTACCCCACTTTCAAATTCCTTACCTTCCCCGAGCCACTTCTGTTCCTTTCCATAACTTCAGAATCCCACTGCCTTTGGCTGAGGAAGGCTGAAAAGAGACTGATGGGAAGATAGAGCCCTCCAAAATGGTTGAACAATTTGACTCTGTGCTGACCCGAATCCTCTGGTGGTCACTGAGGGGGTGGAAAAGCCTGGCACCTTGTGGCCATGTTTAGTACTACAGCTGCTTCTCTACCTAGGTGCAGCAGTTTGCGAACTCCTGCTAGGTTTCTGGGATACAGCAGATGAAAGGGGTGTGTGCTGAATCTTTTTTAGACCATTCTATTTGACACCTGTCTGAATGATTATCTCACTAGTCATTCATTCTTTTTAATCAAAGAGCATATGTGCTCAGAGCCTCAATGGCATAAGCAGGAGAGGTTTCTCTCGATTTCTACCTAGCACTGATGGGGGAGTATTAGTTGAGAATTTGCCTCCTGCACTGAAAAAAAACCATTACAAGTTATTTTTGGAATTTAAAAGTAGAGGACATTGGGAGACAGTGTTGTGATGGAATGAACCAGGAGATTTTATTTCCAGTCCTGGTTCTATTAGACCACGTAAGTGGTCTGTGGCACGTCACCCACCCTCCAGGGGTTTCATTCCTAAGGTAAGAGGAGGGATAATGTCATTTCCAAGGCCGCCTTTGGCTCTAAACATCTATGTCTGTGTCATGGTTCCCGGCCAGCTGTGTTCCTGGCTCGAGCACACAGAATCTGTGTTTCTTATCTTCACCCATCATAGTGTCCAGCCCTGAGGTCACTCTTAGTGTAGGTCTTTCAAGTGTATCTACTACTTTTCAATTGCCCGTGTCTTCAGAGCTAATATTTGAGTCAGTCCATGGAACACACAGGTCTTTTGAGTTTGTTTTTTTATTCATCAGTAAATGGAAGTCATTGACTTAACCAAATTGTTAGAAGAACTTACTTATTTGCGAGTAACACAAACTCAACAAGTAAACAAGTTCCTATCTAGCTCTTTTAGTCTACTCAGATATTTTATCACAAGTACAAGTTGCACTGGGATCATTTGTTTGACCTTACTTTTTGTTGTCCTGTGTCTGCAGAATCTTGATCCTGATGACAGGAAGACTGGTTCAGAAATGTGATGGCATTCACACTGTCATTCAACAGAACCTGGAGCAGCACTGACTTTTGGAGATCCAATAGTGTAGACATAAGCTCCTGATACCAAGGAGCTTGCAGCTCACAAGGGACAGAGACAGGCATAGGGAGCTGTATCAGTGTGGAAAAGTGAAACCCAGTCACCTTGGGGATGACACTTGGGGAAGTCCTGAAGGATGTACACGGATTCTGTAAGCAAGGAGGGGCCAGGCACATCTTAAGGCAAAAATCTTTTCAGTGAAATAACTTATCCAGCACTTACTGTTTTCAGTGATCTGCTTTATCTAACTTTAGTTATCTAAGGAACTGGAGGACATTTGATTCTGACCCAACTTATTTCTACCGTCAAATTTACTTTGCAGTATCAGTTTAGGGAATCAGTGTCCTCGTGTCCACCAAGGGCTGCAGGTGGATCCCTACATCAAGCTGATAGATTCTTCTGCTGCACATTCCTGAAATCCAGCAAATTGGCCACGTACCTATGGGTTTAGTCACAGGTGTTATTCCTATACAATAGGAGGGGAGGATAAAGGCTTAAGTATAATATGGAATGAATGATTTGGGGATGCTTTTAGTCTAGTAAAAGAAGATAGGAAGATTCAGGGCATAAATGTTGGGAAGGTACATCACATTATTCCAGGTAAAAGCTTTCTTAACAAACTTCCCCTAGGAATTCTCCATCTGTAAACTTACCATGGGATGCTGCAGCATGCTGCCTGAATAATGCTTATAATAATAACGATATTCCCCTTCTTCAGTACCCCCAACCATCTCTGCCCACTGTTAATGCCAGTTGTAATTACATAAATTAAACTGGATATAAGCCAGAGAGATGGGAATTTATAATTTTTTTCTCCCATTCAAATATGTGCAATTTTTTAAAGCTCATCCTTCATCTGTGTTCATTTACTGCTTTGTCTCCCAACCCCACAGGTACTGGATTCTCTCTGAAGGCCATCAGCATCTCCTGACCACGTCCAATAGCCACTGTCTTCCCTCTTATTAACACAGAATGAGCCTGCTGGGTGCGGCCGGCCGTTCAGCTTCCCTGGTCCTTACCGAGGATGGGAAAGAGAAGACCTACACAACTACGCACTAAGTCTGATTCACTGCGGAAAAAACGCAAGAAAAGTGACTTTGAAAATGTCTTTATTTATAGACATTTCGGAACCATTTAAATCAACAGACAAGGAATTTGTTTCAGACATAACATACCGTGTTTATCTTGAGGTACACACCGGGCCCATTAGCTAATGCTCTGGAAAGTAATGCCACTGTTAACTAGTGCTGAACAAGTTTTCCAAGCCAAGAAACCGTAAAGATGGCTACAAAATTCTTTGAAAAGAATACATTTCTGTTTAAGGAAAACTCCCCCAAATTCTTCACGGAATTCAATTTTTCGGCTTAGCTTACACAACATTTTAAATGGAACTTAATATAAAAGTGGGAGCAAAGGTTTACAGTTTATCTGAGCCCTACTACATTAGACCGTAAACAAGGGAAATTCGCGATCTGGTAAGCTCTAATACAAAATTTCTAGCCTAAAACTTAGAGCAGCAAAATTACAGAAGATATTTGTATAGTTTTGAATGAAATCACGCTCACGCCTTTTCTCACTATCACAATGAGACAAATTTTAAAACACCAAGTCTGGAAGAGGAAGCAGTGTGACTTAACGTGATGTGGCCAGAAGAATACCCTAATATTACAACTCCACAGTATGAAAGTCCTGCTTCCCATCACTCAAACTCTGGGACTTTTTACTTGAAAAATAGTGGGAATTGATATAATGGGCATGTTTCTAAAAATCTCTCATGTTCAACAGCAGATTTTTAAACTTTGCAGACTGAAATGGAAATTTCCTTTGCACATAGGTCCTTTGGAGGACTTTCCAGTAATTCAGAACGTTAACCTTATACTCACCAGGCACGATGAGTAGCAACTTGTACAAAATGTGTGGAAACTGAAGGGCCCTATATTTATCTACACCCAAGTCCTGAATTTCTCAGGGAGCTGTATGGATGATGCACAGGTGGCTCTGGAATGGGAACAGAGGCTGCTGACGTGCGTGTCTGAAAACAGTTGAAATGGATTGTCACAATATGTCCTGGAAGGTTGTTGTATTTCTGCACGAGACAAGAATAAACACAGCAATGCAGCTGAATGGGCAGCCTCCCGCAACTTCGTAAACTTGAATGGTGTATGTGGGTTGAAAGGATGTAAGTGTAAATTTCACAGTTCATAAAGTTGAGGCAGCTCAACTTTAAAGAAGAGAGAATTTGCAGGCATTTACAAGATTCTGAGAAGGAGCTGATCTGTGAGTATTTGAGTTCTCACCCCGACATGAGTCAGGTCCACATTGAACTTTGTAGCTGTTTGGCTTGGTTTATTGCTGATTTCTTTTCTGAGGGGTGCTGTGACGATTCTTGCCATGAATTTAAGGACCTCCAAAAGGTCTTGTTTAGACAGACACTCCACTGCCCCTTCCCACACGTCGTGGTCACTGCTGCAGTTACAGGGAACCTGCCAGGAGGAGCTGTACTCGGTGTTGACCTGCCCGTTCAGAAGGGTTCTGCTCTGGGGTTTGTACATCACGTCTCCCTGCAGAATCTCAGCCCTGGGTGGGGAAGGGCTGTCTCCTCCTCACCCTCCTCTGTGTTCCTTCCTTGCCGTGATTCTCTCGGGGTCCTGAATGCCTCTTGGTCAGGGTGCCAAGGTCCTTCAGACAGGTGCGAGGCTCAGGCACTGCCGTGACATTCCTTTGTGGTTTTTAGAGATGCCAGAAGGTATTTAGGACAAGTGAAAAAGTTACAGAAAACCCCCCACTAGGCAATGAGAGACAGTGTCCCTTCAACACACTCCATGTTGTGACGGTCACAGGCTGCTCACGAATCGTGCCCTTAAATACAGGATGCCATTTCTTCCTTTGGTGGATTCCTTAAAGACAGGACACAGTTACTCTCAATCACCCAGCTGGCCAGGTTTCATATCTCCCTTACCCACATATACATGGTCTCAGCAACCGTGATTTTAAATATAAACAACATGAATTCCAACAGGGCAGGGGCCCTCTTTTTCCCAGCATCAGAGGGATACCAGCACCGGGCCCCATGACTGGCTAATGCATCCAGGATTCGAAGGCCACAGTCCCTGCCCTCAAGGATTCTCCCTACTGCCAATCAACTAGATTTCACACAAATATGCCAAGAGCTAGAACAAACACATGCACAAAAAGAAAACAATTCTATCTTGTGTGAAGTTCTTGCAACAGAAAAAACAGAAGTCAGTTGTTTATGTGGGGCAATCTTCGACGTAAACCCAAACCATCCCTGATCCTCCCCTCTTGAATTTGAGAATTTTATCCAAGTGCTAAGTGTTTTGAGACTGATTCAGCAAGGGTCTGCTGATGACAATGTGCAGCTTGGCAAATGCATCTTGTCTATTGCTGTTTGAAAAAAGGAGTTTTTAAAGGTTAATTTTATTGAGGGAGGCAGTTCCCCTCACACAGAAGGATGGTTTCGAAACATGAAAATCTCCTGGGGTTCCTGCGAGTGTGGTTGGTACCCGACACTCCTCGTCAGTTACTCCTGAAGGGTACAGTATTTACATTTTGGGAAACATGTCAGGAGGACAAAAACATATTTTAAATAAAGGAGACATAGGTGGAAAATCAGAATAGGAATCAATTCACCTCAATTCTAAACCATGAGAAGGGTTAAAAAAAAAATCTTCCTAATGTGAAGGAATAAAGACATCTATCACAGGTCTACAGAACTCGACTGCTGGGTCCTTACATTTATTTATTCTGGTGAGCTGGAAGAGGAGATGATAAAATATAACCCAATCCTGCAAGTCACGCTGTCACCTTGTTGACTGAGCCGCCCCACCCCAGAGGTCACAGGTGCATCTCCGTAATGGTACATCTATAATCTGGGGACAGACTGGGCTGCTGGGGGGGCTGCTGGGTGATGCATTGCTCAAAGAACTAAAACTTCTCTCAGATTCATATTCTTTCAGAAAGTCAAGAACAATTAAGTTATGGAACATTTAATCACATTTGGCAACAATTTCTCAGACTAATCTCCTAGGAATTCTTGGGATAAAAGTACGGTAATAATGCATTTTGGGGGGGAATGGGGGAGGAAGATGTCTATGAGATGAACAAGTCCTCTTCTTGATATTTTAAAGATGACTCAACAGATGTGGCGTATGTGATAATAAAGGATTGTGTATCTGATTTCTGAGCTCTTCTAGAGCACGGAGCAAGCCAGGAACACTTGACACACTCTGAGAAATGCTCTTCAGACCTCTCACTGTCAGACGGACACCGGGGGAAAAAGGCCCTTGAACCCGAGAATTATTCAACGAAAGCTGTCATTTCCCCAGATCTCACCATGGGGTATGCTATGCAACAGTCAGCCCTACAGTGGGCTTAAAAAGCAACTCTGTTGATTTGTTCCAAGTTTTTAGTGATGGAGCCAAATAAAAACAAGCTTCGAGTGACAGGGTTCTGAGAATCTTTGGAATCATTCTGTCCGCTATTCTTAAGAGAATCAACCTAAAAGTTCTTAAACTTCAAGGGATATTTGAAAGTGAAGGGGTATTATCTAAAATATCAGACTCCAAATGATGTTTAGAACAGACTGGTGTATCGTGTACACACATCACAGACAGGTATGTATATTTTGTTTCCTTTCTGCTCAGTAAAATTAGCAGCAGTTACAGAGAAATTCTTATGGTCATGATTTCTGAGGGTGTCAGGAACACATGACTTTCGGAAAACGCCTTCTGATAAAAGATTCTCACTAAGCATGTAACATTTCATACCACTAACATTTTCAGGCACAAGAGAAAAACAGAGAGCGTTAAGCAATCCAGACGACAGGGTACACAATATAGTTAATTGTTTAAAGTCAGCTCCCTGAAAGAAGGGAATTGTTGTTCAAAAGTGTTTTTTTTTAAGATTCTTATGTCTTACGGCTTTGGCTATTTTGTAATAAATATCATACCTCCTTGCATAAACCTACTCGGGTAACAATGATTTCTCCGCACATGCCTTTTTTTTTCTTTTAGCAGCTGCTGAGTGTTGAGTGACGTACAAGGCACATCTCCAAGTGTTCTGTACAGCATTTTTATTGATGTACAAAATAGCCTGTTCACCATTCAAAAACGTAATCTGCATAGTAAGAGTTTCTCTTACCCCTATTTACAGAGAAGGTTTTAGTGCAAAAACATGAACTTGTGTCCCAGCACCCCCTTTTCTAGAACACACACTTATCAGTCCTGCTCCATGCCAGCTGGGGCCATTTGGCTATATTTTGGGCCTCCAGCCATTAATGAATTGCATTATTTTCTTCACCTGCAGTTTGCTCAATTTGAAATCCTCTGAGAGGATTTCTTCTGTTAGTTGAACAAGCAAATTCCCATCAATCTTTTCGGTAACGAAGAACGATATGACGTCTTCGGACAAACCGATGAACCGTAACGACTTGGACACTTCCTCTATAGAGAGTCCAGACAGGTCAGCAGGCGGCTGCCACGGGGAGCCATCGCCGCAAGATCTGGGGGCCAGCTGGAGGTGGAGCGGAGATGGGAATGGGTAGGAGACGGAGAAGATGTCCTGCATGCCCTTTTTAACAAAATACTGGTCCTCAGAGAGATCTGGTGACCCAGCCTTGGGGTCTTCCTCAGCACCATCAATTTTCAGAGGCAAAGGAGATGTTTCGGAGGCAGCTTTCTCTTCTGCTAGCTTTGGGGCCCTGGGGGGTAAGGCAGGGCATGAAATACTCTGCTTTGTCGTGCCAGCTGCAAGAGTTTTCACTTCTGTGCTCTCCAGAGAGTAGCTGGCTGACTTGGGACAACCAGAAACGCTGCTACTGAATTCTACAGTGACTGTGCTGGGGGGGCTCGCCATGAGCTCACAGCCATCAAAATCAAAAGGTGCTGGGCAATTTCTCTTTGGTGTGCCGGGTGTCTTTTGTCTGGGATAACTGTAACTCCTGCTTGGATCCAGCAGGAAGTCACTCCTGGTCTGGCCCTCTGAGGCTCCCGAGTAATGGTTAGGCCACGAGAGCCGGGAGGATAGCGCTTCAGCAGAAGGACTTCCAAATGGGGATTTCAGGTCCACAGAATCCGTTTTCATTCGGGTGCACGGATAGCAGGAAACAGGAGCACTTTCAGAAGGACTTGTGTCACTTTTAGTAACGCTGCTTAAAAGCAAACACAGAAAAGAAAATCAGTATTAGAAAAAAAAGCCAAATGCCAAGCCTTTCATTATTCATAGATATTATTGATGATTAGGAAAGGGTAACTAGGGAAAAAAATACATTATTTCTTAACATGAATTCAATAAAGCACCTGCTAATCTCATTGAGTTGTAACAGAGGAATCTTTAATCAAATACGTTGGTGATTGTGGATATATATGTAAATGATTTATTTATTTATTTGTACTTTCTTTTTTGAGATAGAGTCTCACTCACTCAGAGTCTGACCTCAGTAGAGTGATCTGGAGTCATAGCTCACAGCAACCTCAAACTCCTGGGTTCCAGCCATCTTCTTGCCTCAGCTTCAAAGTAGGTGGGACTAAGGGACCTGTCACAATGCCCAACTATTTTTAGAGAAGGGGTTTTGCTCTTGCTCAGGCTGGTTTTGAGTGCCTAAGCTCAGGCAATCCACCTGCCTTGGCCTCCTAGAGTGGGAGGATTACAGGCATGAGCCCCCATGCCTAGCTTTATGTAAATGATTTAAAAGCCTACACTGGAGATGAAAAAGAAAGTATTTTAGCTACTACAAAAATCATTCTTAGTAGGTACCTGCATCCTTTATGATGAGAAAAATGTCTTCAGTCATGTTTGGGCTTTGCACCAGTAGGTGTCAAGGCTAATGTCTCTCGTGGGCGGTAGTGGAGTGAAAAAGTGGTAAATGGTGCCCCATGCCTGCCATCCTTGGGTTACAATGCCATGACTGCACCACTACCACCCTTGACTCTATTTCTACCCAAAAGTCTGAGTAGGAAGAAATTTACTCCAATACAAGCTTATCTTTGCCTTAGTTTCTGTACAATCAAGTAACATTAGCATAAGACTTTACATGTCCAGAGAACAACAACAACAACAACAACAAAATACCTGCAAAGAGAGCTACTTTAAATTGCAAAGATCCCACGGGTGTGGTGCATTTGGCTCTGGGGACCCTGTTTTAAGAGCGACAGTGAAACTAGAATATGCTCAAAGGTGGGTGACCAGACTGATGAGGGATCTGGCAGCTGTCAGGGGAGAGCAGAGAGAACCAAGGTTGCTTCTTTTGAAGAAGACTCACAACATAGCTGATTTTGAATTTTCATGACAAGGAGAAGTGGGATGGATCTGTTTGTTTTTCTAGACATAAGAAACAGTTGAAAGTTACATAGAGATAGACAGACTCCAGCTTGATGTTAGAAAGGATTTCTTTAAAAAAAAAAAAAAAGCCATGCCATTTGCCAACAATGGAATGACCTGCACTGTAAAGGAATGAGCACACTACACTGGACGGTCTGGACAGGGAGAAATGACCACCCGGCGGCAATGCTGAGAGCGCCTCCTGGCTATGTGGACATGCAGAATACAGAGCCAATGGACACTGTCAATTCTTGGTCTCGCTGAAGGTGCTGACTGCTGTCAAAGTCAAACAGGAAAAAACTAGATGCTGATGGGAGAACAGATGGCAGTGCATGGGGTGTTTCTAAGAGAATCTAGTTGGCCTTTACCACTGAGTTTCTCACAGATTCTTGGGGCATCTTTTTGTGCAAGACATTGGCTCTTCTATCCTAGCTCAAAATCAATGGGGCCCCCATCATGCTCTCCCAGTACAATTATTCCAGAAATAAAAAAAAAAAACCCCACAAAAAAACATTTCTTCTCTCCATCCTCCTGCCTAGAAACCCTGAAAATGTTTTTAAGAACCCATGGCCTGGCAGATGAGAAGAGAAGGTTGCAGTGGGACCTGGCAAGACACTTACATGTTGTGCAGCCCTGAAGAATAGTAGGACAAGGTGGGGCTGGGAGAGCGAGTCTGTTGCCGCGCTGGCTTGACTGTGCGAGGAGGGACGGAGGGACTGGTAGACAAAGGCTTTGCGCTTCGGGGTGGAACAGGTGGGGCGTTCAGGAGCCGGCATTCTTCCCTGACCTGGCGCAGAAAAGAACACTCCAGGTTAGCAACAGACTGACAATGCCACTGGGGGCCAGCTCAATTCTGTAGGCTCAAGTTGCTACTCTTAAATATCAGCAGCAGAACATAAGCAAGGTGGGGAGAAGACTGGAACAAACAGGAAGGACGGTAAACACACAGGCTGCCGGAGAGCAAATCAGACGCTTGTCACATAATTTGCCGGGACAGACTGCTTTTGAAAGATTTGCCACTGCTTGGCAAATTCTAGTTGATGCTGAAGGATAGCAAGTGATGTGAAATACAGCAAGTTAAAGCGACTTTGGGTCAAGAGCTAGTACAACATGAGGATGGATGACAGAGAAGTTTTAAGAAAACAGGAACATAAGCCATTCGTGATCTTAATGGGATTAATCTCTCCTACTGGGTTGTGTTTTTTCACTATTCAAACTGAACTCAATTTGATTCAAACCTTAAGAACAGTGCGCCTTCTCTGGGGTTAAAGCTCTTTCTGAAGTCAAGTTCTGGAGATCTTGGTAAAATGCAGATTCTAATTCATTGGACTTCGGGAGCGGCTGAGAGCCTGCATTTGTCACAGGCTCCCAGGTGACAGCGATGCCCACCAGTGTGAGCCATACCTTGAGAAACCAGGTTGCAGGAGTAACGAGGCAGCTCTCCAATCTCCCCCAATAGTACCTTTATTAAGAGCTGTTTCCCGCTGCCTCAGCCTTCACCTCCGTGTTGGAGAGGATCTAGGTGGCCTGGCACGTCCATGGCTTCTGAGTTTGCTGCCATCCCCCCAGTTTGCACCCCGTTCTCTGCAGGCATTGCAGAACATACTGCTTATTAACAAGTGGGCAGGTTAAATGTACTTCTCTGTGTCAGGCAGCAGGGGGCACTTTATACCTGGTTCTGCTTGTCTACCCTAAATTACAGAGGCAAAAACAGCCAATTCTGACTTGGTCAAAAATGCTCCTGGTCTGCTCTTTGGGCACCCACCCCTCAATGTTTTCACCTTTGCTTTCAACTCCTTTCTGGCCAAGCAGCTCTAGCAAGCCCCCATTAGCTTTGGTATTGACTTTAAGATGAAATGAAGTGAGTTCAGTTACCACACTGCAGCCTCCACCACCCACACTGGCTGCATACTGGGCCTCCAGCTCACATCCCAGGCCGGATTCACTTGCCAAAAAAAGAAAAAAACCCAGCCCTAATAAAAGTCCCGTGGCCATGGGTGGCCCAGCAAACCTCAATTCTGAGCGGAATGAAAGCAACTGAGAACGTCTCACTGCTGCATTTCTTCCTGGGGCAGGGAGCTCAGCCCATGTCATGGGTATGGGTTGCTAAGAGGAAAGGTTTTCATCTGCTGAAGCTCTTTAGACTAAAACAAAATATTTGAAGCAGAAGATTTCTTCCCCAACAGATGCAGGCTTTCCCATGATGAGCCTTTAAAAAGGTGAATGACTACAGAAAGGAAACCCAGGAGGAAATGAGGTTTGGATGAGAACGGGCGTGGATGGCTCAGCTGGCCACGGAGAGGCTCCTGCACCACTCTGGGGTCCTCCTTTCTTAATAGCGAGAACCAACTAGGACACTGATGCTCTGGCCGGGCCACTCTATGCCCCAGCCTTGGTTCACCATCCTTCTGCCTCGTTAGTGAGCTGTGCAGTCGTGGGCTGTGTTTCTTTTCTTCCTCAGGGAATGCCCGTGGCATTTAGGGCAGCCCTTTATCACAGATGTGTGTGGTGCTATTTACGCTTACACTAACAGGAATCATGGGAAATGTGCAAGGATAAGGAGTCGATCCGTTAACTTTAGTCAACAGTCACTTCTCAACCCAGGGTTAGAGTGCAGCGTGAGGAAGATCTAAGTCTGGATTTAACTTAGGATTTTCTAAACTTTGGGATTAGTTATTAAACATGACATTTCATTAGGGACTGCTTACCTGAGATGCCAAATTATAATATGCTCTAGTGTCAATTACAACATGCATTTTAATTTAAAATAGTTGGCTGACCCAGGTCTTAGAACTCAGAAAAGCAGCCACTTGCCATTTGACCTAGGGCAGTCCTCTCCTCCTGCCCTTAGAACCAACCCAGGCACCCAGGGTCACGTAGAGCCGGTTCTGCCCCCTGCTCCACAACTAGGCACTCCGGAAGGACTTTCCAGTAGGTTCCCACCTGGTGGTGGGAGGGGACAGTGAAGAGAAGCATTGGAGGCTACAGGGCGTGGGGAGGAGGGTAAACCAAGGCTAACGGGTATTTACAGCTAACCCTCAAGACAGAATCTGAGACAGACAGAGTTTCTGGAGTGGCCACAAGATTCCTGGTGTGTGTGTACGTGTGAGAGATGACAGAAAGATATCGATTCTTACTCTAAGGGTGGGGATGTTGACAGGGAAAGGACAAGAATGTAAGGCCAGAGAAAAATTTTCTTCTGTTGTGATGAGAGGGCAGTTTGGGGGTAACTATGTGCGTTCAATGACAGAACTAGGTGTTTTTGAAATGCACTTCGAAGAAAAGGTGGTTGGTTTTATTAAAAAGATGACTTGAAAGGGATCCCACCCATGACAAGATTTTCAGGTGTCACTCTGTTGGGGCACACCTGAGCACCCCACAAACGCACTTTGGCTTTCTGAGTTTCAACCTTGCTGCTGCTGCTCCAATCAAGCCTTATTTCACTGCTTTTTACAGGAAGAACCACACCACCCTGGTGGACATTTTTGGGATACAGAAGTTACAAACAGGATTTATCGTGCCATCTTATTTCCTGTCGCTTATGCCCTCAGAACACTAGCTATTCTATTATTCTTTGCTTCATAATTTAATCCATATGGGACATGTACAGCCAGCAGGAAGGCACTTGTGCTTCCTATGACTTTTATTTGACAATAAAAGGCAATTTATAAGACTGGTCAATCACCCTATTTCTAGTTTTCTCTCATATTCGATTTCACTTTTAAGCGCTACATTTTCAGCACATTCCTTCTAAAAGCCTTGGCATGTGGCTCTCATCATGTTGCTTGCCATCTCCAGTGGCTCCCCAGATTCCTGGGTAAGGCCCCCTCACCCTCCTGCCTGCCCCTCAAGGCCCCCTGCTGTTCGGCTCTGAGCATCTTTCGGGCGATTTCTCCTACTGCTCATCTACATGAAATGCAGGTCCAGCCAAACTGGTGGATTCAGGGTCCCCTCAGCAGACCCTGTGCTTTCCTGCCCCTTCTCTACATCACTTTCTACAGCCCCCTGCCCCCAAACCAGTCCCCATGGCCCAGCCCCAGTCATTACCTGCTGTCTGGGAGCCCAGAACGGACTGCTGCTTCTGCACTCTCTAACTCTGCTCACACTGACTTACTCTCCCTGTTTTAATTAGTCTGAGAGCTAAAATGTAGAGACCGTCATCATTTTTACTGTCCTGGGAATGGCAGAATTTCAGAGCTTGTCACCCCTGGCATGAGCATGTCACAGAGAATGTCAGGTAGAGGTTGACAGATGTCACAATAAATATAACAAAAAGGCACTGTTATTTCTAAACATATACCAGAGAAGGCTCTTTACATTTTTACGTGGTAATTACTTTTGACAAGTCATCTGGGCTGGATTTTAGTTTTTTGGTGACACTTGTATCAGTGTCAATCTAGGGGGGGAAGGCACCAGTCGCTCTGGCACCTGTGATCGGCACCAACTCTGCCATCACCACACTTCGACACCATATCAGAGTGAAAATGACAGTGTTCCTGAACTAGCACATGCTGTGGCTTTGATACAGCACTTCACAGAGCAATCACCTCTCCAAAGTGAGGCTCGGGTGCCCAGTGGATGAGCAGCATTTAAAACTGGACTTCAGCCGGCAACACAAGGCAAGAGAGGAACCTGCATTATTGGGAATGAGCTTCCAATGCAGGCACCAGGTGAAGGTTGGCATTCTGTTTCGAAGTGTCACCATCTGCCGCAGATTACAGTGACCTACGCTATCTGCAGGAGTTTCTCGTTATGAGTAATGTGGGTGTACATGGAGAAGCTCCAGGCACCAAAGTCCTGCTGTTTATGACAGGGTCAATCGGCACACGCAGGTGCAGGTGGCGGTGGGGAGGGCCGCTCCCTCTCATACCCAAAGCCTTGCTGCCTGGGCAGTTCCCTGCGTAAAGCTTTTCTTCCCAGCTGTTACACTTCTAGTCTATCTCCTATTCTTGCTCCTTCACAGTCAAGTCTTTCTCTTCTAAAATGATTTAATGCTTACCAGGTCGACTGTTAATACCACTAGCGTTACTACAACTCTCCCTGGTATTCACATAGCAGATCACTAAACAGAAAGGTCATTTAGTGAAAGGTGGAAATGTTGAGTTCAGTCTTTTTTTGAGCTGTAACTTCTCTTTAGTCTATGAGGCATCTTCCTAGGGAGGCATCTTCAGCCCGTTAACACTCTGAAATAATCTAACGGTGGGGGTTTGAGGCAAGCTGCCAACGCATCTTTCCTGGGCAGTAACAGTCAGGATCACAGGCATCATCCCCTTCCACTGTCCTTCCTAAGAGGCTAAGGACGTGGGCACCACTTTCACTTTTCCTACAGGCTCCACTAATTGCATTTTGCTATTTATTTGTCCAAATATATGTTGAGTGCCTATGGTATGGTCATTGAGCTTGTGTTAAGTATACAGTAACAACTCACGGAATTAGTGGTGAGGGAGGGAGTTGAAGCACACGAGTAAGATACAAACTGGCAAGTCTAATAAGGGTAACAGCAGCCGCCCGCCCGGGGAAAGGGTTTGGGGCAGCAGAAGAGGAACAAATTCACAGGAAAGCTTACTAAGGAGGTCTTGAAGAAGAAGGGTTGTAAGTGCTCAAAAGGTGAAGAAGCACGACAGACGACTCAGAAAGACGCTCTGGCCTGGGGTGCTGAGCAGACGAAATGAAAACACTGGGGCCATTTCAGACAGAAATGTAGACGAACAGGGCTCGGGAGACACTGAGCAGTTGTGTTTTCAAAATACTGCGTTGGAGGCTCAATGTTCTACTGACAGGCGGAAT